TCTGAAGCTGAAAGAGTATCTGAAGTAGACTAAGCGCGCATAAAACTATGAGCGCTCGATACATTCCTTTGTTAATTTTTGTACTTTGCGTTCACGGTTACGTTGTGAAAAACATCGTTAGCTTAACCTCTCCATTGTCCTGTTCCTGACCCACTTTTCCAATACTAAGTATTGAAACAAGTATTTTTTACAAATTTGCCAAATCCAGGTAGTTTTATAAAGTTATAATTTAAACAGGGATCCTTTCATGAGCAAAATTTTAAAAAGATCTCTCTTTCCACCTCGAGACAGTAATATTGTCATTTATTGATTTATTTTGACTATAATCAGGTCCATCGCTTTACATGAAAGTTATTGAGGGTTAAATCAATGGTCTAGTTCTGATTTTAATTTTGATACCGTATGTGATTAGCATACCTAAATAGAAAAAAACATTTCTGCTGGGCAGAGAAGGGTATCGAAACTTATGAACGACAGTGTAGCGTATTTATAGCGAGCTATGCAGCCTGGTAAGTGTTCTAGGATTGTAGCTTTTGCGTTTAATATTGATCAGTTCTAACTTTGAATGTGTTGTTAAGGACCGACATTCAAAAGCATTTATGAATCGGCTTTTTGGAGCATAAATATTTGTATTCATTTATTTATCGCGATTTTTCATATATTTTGGTTATGAGCGGGCTCTTAAGTGAGACGAAAAGTTATTGATATTAATGTAAAGTAACGATCACATTGAAATGTTTCATGGTCCTCGACGGCATTTCAACCCTAGACTTGACCATGTGTTGAGCAAATGTGAATTGCTTGCGCGTATTCAGTTTTCCTGAACAAAGTAAACTTGAAAACTTATAGGGTAGTGATAGATGGCGTCGGCACTGTAACTTAACTTTAAACTAATTACAAGGAGGATTGGCTCCCAGGATCGAAACTCGATATTTTCCAACAATGAAAACGTCGAAATGTCGTTATTTTCTGAAATTAAAACCGACTATAAATTCAAAATAAACAGTTCAAAAGATTCGAACCAATATCTCGATCGTTTCTTGTGAGTTTTGGAATTTTTCGTTTGGAAATAAGACCAAAATTCACGATTTAAATGTTGAAGTGAACAAAATGGCGGCTGTTTGAATTCGAATTTTGTATTACGACATACCCATATATGGGACAGAATATCGGTGGTGCACTCTGGGAGCCAATCCTCCTTGAACTAATTAAAAGTATTACAGAAGACAACAATTGATAGTTTGTATGTGCACTCTTATTTAAACAAGCTTTACAACTTTGCCTCATTGAATATTTCTTCTGGTGGCGAGTAAATGATTAATTTTGGTTTGAATAATCACACTGATACACGAAGTATCTTATTTGTTTATTATATTGATTTAATATGATTCCGAAGCTAGTACACAGTTCCAGAATTTAATAAAGTGATAGTACTGGATACTTAAATGTGCCAAAGATAATATATGTAGCTCTGCCATAACGGCAGCGCAACAACTTCAAAACCCCACCAAATTCCCGTTCATTGATTTGAATGTTATGTGCCGGATATGAGAAATTGTTGTGTATACCGAAAGTCATTAGACTGACGTTTTTAAAAACATATTTTTTACCAGCATATTTACAAAATCCTAAAAGAAAAGTGGATATCCCAATGTCATATACAGCTTTGTTGAATTATGTGGCATTCGCTTGTATCAAGTTACGCAATAATTGTGTGAAGTGTGAAAAAAGGAAATACTCAAGCAATCTTTGTAAATCTCTTCTAGAATATAAATGAAATAACCCTACAAAATACTGGAACTTAATTAATAGCACCCAGGGTAAGACATTTAATGACATCCCAATCCCCCTAGAACAACTTCTTGAATATTTTAAAACAGTATCCCCAAACCCCCAAACATAGACTATTTTGATAATGAAATTCAAAATGAAAAGCCAGTATAAGAAATTTGGTGATGTCCCAGTCAAAATTGCTTTACGTCTCTGTGACACTTTAGTAACAACCATTCTCACATATGGTTGTGAGATATGGTAAACAAAAAAACATATAGATAATCTTGAACTGGTGCATTTACGATTCATGAAATCAATTCTTGGAGTGAAAAGACAAACTGCCAGTCCTGCAATTTATGGGGACTTGGGGCGTTATCCTCTTTCAATAAAATTTGAGACTACATTAATATAATACTGGATAAGAATTCTCCCTCCCCCAACAAAAATACTACATAAATCATACTCCTCCGAAAATGAAATGCATGAACTAGGTTTTCAAACTTGGGCTACAAGAGTTAATATGGCAAAATTCTGGTAGGATCAAGATAATTTAGATAATATAGAAAGAGTACCACTATATTATTGTTGAAAAAAATTGAAAAGTAACTTTGTTGATATCTGGAAAACAGATGTGAATCACAACTTTCCTATACTTCGTACATATAGCACTTTTAAGAATAACTTTTGCTTAGAAACTTATACAAAACTTGACAATAGAAAATATAGACAATCAAAAGCCAGGTTTCGACTAAGCTCACACAAAATTCGAATTGAAACAGGCCGGTATTCTAAACCTAAACCAATTCCAAAAAAATGTTAGGCTTTGCTTAACTTCTACATCTGTTGAAGATGAAAAACAATTTTTATTGGTTGTAAAAAACATGATGTTCAAAGGAGAGTCCTCTTAGAAAAAATGAAAGAAATATTTGGACCCAATTTTCTAATCAATGAAACAAATTTTAAAATGATATTGTGTGTGCAAAATGTTACTATTCAAAGACATATTGGGAAATATGTTTACCACTCTTTTCAAAATTTAGAGTAAACTACAATGATTGTGCTACACTGCTAATACATTTTTTATTGCCTTTTATGCATCAAGTTTTACAAAGAGCCTGTAAACTCATGCAAATGATTTTACGTTACATGTCCATAGTGTAGTTATAAATGTAGTCTTGCATTTAGTTAATAGTGTAGTATTGTCTTGAGTCAAGACAGCCTAGTTTGTACATAGACTAATGTGTCATGTTTTGATACAATTGTCAATAAAAGAAATATATGTCCTGATATCATATATACTATGGTATGATGTGGTATGGAATCGTATAGTATGACATGGCACGGTTCAGTATGGATGGTATGGTATGGTATGGCATGGCACGGTACGGTATGGTCTCTGCTCTGGTATGACATGGTATAATATGGTATGATCTCTGCATTGATCTGATCTGATCTGATCTGATCTGTAGGATGGTATCGTATGGTATGGTATGGTATGGTATGGTATGGCATGGCATGGTATGGTATGGTATGGTATGGTATGGTATGGTATGGTATGGTATGGCATATAGCCTATATACATAGATTTTAGGCATATAAACTCCAGATGAAAATAGATGGTAATAGGATTTTGCAATAAATAATTGCAATTGTTTATCTGCACTGCCTACAAACAGCAGGTCTGGTTTTCACATTCCGTACAAAGGAAACTGAATTAATTAATTAATTGAAATTCATTCTTAAAGGGTCAACAAAGACTAGATCCGTTCTATCTGCACCCTCTATTCCTTACTGAAAAACAATATATAATGAAACCTTTCAGGTTTTTCAATACTAAGTTCGATTTAATTCGCTGGTTAAAGATTTTGAATAGTTCAATCATATCAGATGCTAGTAATGTTATGATGTTAATTTCCGAGCAATCGAATTTCTATCTTACCGGCCTGTAGTGTAAAATCATTTTAAAAATCGATAATTCCTAGTTGGTCAGTATATAGACATGGTAGGAGACGGCAGGTACCCTTTTTTCAAAATGGCGGACGTTAAAGGTCGATTTCGAAATTTTTGTAACGAATGAAATCATTTTGTCGTGAACATTTGGCTTTTGATATTCTAAAGGCACCAAGCTAGTATTATGTAGAAACCTCAGCAACATAAAAAAAATTCACAACCCATATTGATGCCACGATCCAATCATAGCTTCTACCGCTTACGGCAAGGTAACGTAATCTTCATTCGAGACCATTGCAATTCACGTTACTGTGCCTTAGAGAGGAAGAATTTACGGTAGGATCGTGGCGATCACGCATTATATAGTAACTCAGATAGCGATGTTCCTATTTAACTGAGCGGTGAATTGGGCTATCTGGAGATTGAAGATGTTACCCTGCCCCTGTTGTTGTTTAGTTATCGTGATATATAGGATGGCGGTTCATGTCATACAGGTTTCAGTAACAAATAACTCACAACATGTCGCCTTCGATCTTTAGATCAGCCCTCGCGGTCTTGATAGCTATAATGTTTACGAGGTTGAAATTATACGCACTATCGTACTTCTTCTATAGGATGATATAAACCCATTAGCGTCTAGACACGAATGCCCATGATCATTTTTGGGGACAAAGACAGAAGGGGTCCACTAAGACCCCCTACCCCTACTTATTTTTGGGGTACCACTGGGGGCCACTCGCATGCTTTGGAGGCAACTGGAGGCCACGGGGAGCATGACTTATAACAAACAGAGTTAATGAAAGTTAAATAAAGTGTTAAATAACATGTTTGATAAAGTTATGATATTGTAAATAGATTTTACAACCACAAAACCATAACTACATAATCCAAAGTGTCTATGTCCCATATTTGGAACGCCTCTAGAAAATATTCCAAAAAAAGATTTTTCAGCGAAAACTCAATTTTTCTTTGTTATGATCCTCGGATTAGACAAACATTAAAATTCTCATCCAATGTGTTGTCCTTAATGGGTTGAATATTGCTTTGTTATTTTTGACTTATAGACTGATGATTCTTAAAAGTTCAAAGCTTCAACTTCCTCTTACGTTGTTGAAAAGTCCCCCTCCCTTGCTTCTGTAACTCATTCCCTTCCTCTACCAGCTAGGAAGCAACCCTCCAAACACTAAGGCCTACGAGCTGCTATTTCAAGATTACTGATTGAATCGCATTGGGGTTTTCTGCGCGGTGGTGTTGCTATCAGTTATAGGTAAACATATACGACACAGAAAATGTCATGACTTTGAAAGAGAGCTTGAATGTGCATTGAACATTCGATATTAGAATATGCCTCATATATTAATAAATGTACAGGAATAGTCTACTTGTTTGGATATGGATATCGTACACGGGCATGAACATGAACTAATAATGATGTGATTGACAATATATATTTTAAGCTTTACATCCAATAAGGGGAAAATAAGTGCGGATAATCAGAGACATGTTCACTTCAAAACATCGTTTTGTTATTTCCGTTATAATAATAGGATTTCTTACTGCTCTCCCTTACATCATATACACAAGAGTAAATATAGAAAGATTGCAGAGTCCCCAATACATCACAATGAGAAACAACATTAACCTAGAAGCAGATGAACGGTTGTTTGATTTCATACCATCATCTGGATTTTCAGAAGAGGATTCATCAAGGTGAGTCTCATGCTTAACCTTTTTATAATACTAGTCCCTCGTTTCCTTGGTAGTTTTTATCCTTGGCGTTAGGGCAAGTCCATCCCAGTTTTATTTGGATGGAATATGATCAGGGTGAGTAAACATATTCAATCATAAACAAAAAACGAAATTGAGTTCTCATTGAGTTCATTTTTTCTGCATTCAATGAATACTTTCAAGTCTTTAATTAGGAGGTGATTCTTAATTCAATGATTTCTTTATCAGTCTCAAGTATTCTCATAGGAACTAAAGAAACTAACTATGGCAAACTTTTTTAGAGCAGAAGACGTGTTAGAGCTTTTCAATATGTCCATATATCCTCACGCTAACTAAATCAGAAAATGCAACACATCTTGATTGAAGGCATGATGGCACCTTATCAACTGTTTCGCCGACTTACCTCTTGACTATTAATAAAATTATTATCCTACCTTTCATTCTATATGTATCATTGTTATTTTACGTGTTTTATGCTGCAATATGTTGGCATCTAATTTGCTTTGACATTTACATAAATAAATTGATTAAGCGTCATCTACAACCTGTTCTCATTGATTCTAGGTGTAATAAGTGAAACCAATAGTGAACATGTTTTAGAAAAAATGTTGTGATTAACACTGCAGAAAAGCATGTCTACTATTTAATTCTCATCAATTTGACACTCATTTATTATAGTCCAATAATTTGTTGGTGACTTATTGCATAAGATTCTCGTTTGCAGTCTCAAAACAAACTTAACCCCCTGTTTTACGTTCGCAAATAAATATTAGTGAAATAAATACACCACCCCTTCGAATAATTTTTTACATTTTGTATTTTCAGTTTGAAAAATAAGACCGCCGATAAAATCAAAATATACATATATCAATTAGACGATCGCTTTAATATGAACATAACTACATGTTTGAGTGACCCTACAAACAAACCTTTGCATGGACGAGGATGTAATTATTTCAATTACCAGGGATATGGTAAAACACTAGAGACGATGGATAAGGAAGGATATGTAGTGACAAGTCAATGTCAGTTTGGACTAGAGCCTATCTTTCATAATAAACTTTTGCGAAGTGGTCTTGTTACAAAAGATGCATCAAAGGCGGACCTGTTTTATATTCCTTACTATGCAGGACTGTCTTGTTTTTGTGGTCGAGGCTTCAAAACGTTGGAAAAAATTGTATGGACCATTATAAAGACATCGGCGTTCTTCAAGAAAGGGAAACCACATTTCATGGCACTGTCGACAGTGCAAAGGGTATGTATGGGAACAGTTCAATTGAATGTACAGGGTGACCAAAAACAGATCCAACAAAAACTGATTAATCAACTTTCTTACAAGATTCTTAGGTTATCCATAACATTTTTAATGAAAAACGAACAAATAAAGCTTACGATATATGCAGGTATAGAATTCTTCTACTTAGAATATTAGGAATATACTAAGTAGAATATTATAGAGTATACGGACGCCGTCGGTTGCCCTATTCTGATTTATAAGAGTCTCTCTTTATCTAAAGTAATATAGATAAATGGTTATTTGAGCTATTCCAAGTTAGGTCATATTCATATTGATACGACGTCAGATACTGTACATCACGGCGTAACATTGTAATTGTTCATTTTATCGACAAAATGCAAAGATTTACGCGATAAATATGCGCAATGCTCCTCCCAGTAATTGCAAAAGTTTTAATATTCGTGGAATCTTCTTACAAACTTCAAATTTTGTTCAGATTAATGTGCGCTTCAATACAATTCTATATTCAAAAAGGTTGTGTCACGATATACAGAATTAGAATCACCAGAAAGTAGACATTTCAAACCCTACCTGTTTTCTTCTTTGTCGCGCTTTTCGGCCATGCGCTCTCGTTGTCGCACCGTCTTTCTAGACTTTTTCACAGAGCCCCTTGTCATATTCAACTGATATACACAGACGGGAAAATATTAAGGATTGTTAAATGTATTATTTGTAATTTATTTTAACTCGAATATTTAGTTTTATTTATTTAAAGCAATGAATAATACAGGAGAAAATATAATACGCTAACGGCGCAACGTCTTATTTTGTAAAGGCTTCACTTGGGGTTGCGGTTATAAAATGGTGTCTATCTCAAAATATACTTGTTCAAATTAAATGAAATTAATCGTATGTAGTAAGAGGTATAATTAAAAGAACTTGCTGAAACATCGGAACGTTTTGAATGTTTATCCCTTAATTAGAGATATTTGAACTCCAAAAGTGAAACGTAATTTTGTGAATTTTTCACATGGCTTCACTTCATATTTCTTTCAATTTATACTTCTTACAGACTGAATTTTAATCGAAATAATATAATTTTTGATAAAATTATAGAATATGGTATGCCTATAAGGATGTAAAAAGAATAAGTCACCTTTCAAACGATTAAATGTTTAATTGATCAAACTATATATCTCATTGGTACGAAATTCTGCCTGTCCACACTTTTTTGGCAAAAATAAAAACGTTAAATTAGCATTGTTATATTATGACGTCATCACACAAAATCTGTTTGTTTTTTCCAAAATGGTGAATTTAAATATTGTGAAAATTTGAGAAAGATCCGTTGAGAAATGACAAAGCTATCTTAATTTTTCGTTTAAATTTAAAATCAGTTTTCTTGAAAATGTTACAGTCCACACCCGGTTTTAGCATAGAAAGTCACATCATACGGCTTGCGTGATTCTCATTTAAAAAGTCCCAAATCAATTATTTGGAATTCCGATAGTCAAAATATTTCATGGACATATATGTTCAACTGATGACAAAAAATTGTATAAAAATATGATTTTACTGTGGAGATATCGCGGTTTTAAAAGTCACTACGCATGTAAAAATGCAGTAAAATGCCGTGATGTACAGTATCTGACGTCGTATAATTGTACTATATTTTCAGGATCTTCATCTCGGTGGTTGGGTGAACGGTTGTAGTTTCTTGTCAGGGCGACCACGAGCAGAACATATGAAATTTGTGATAATCGAGGGTGCTCCTTCACAGCCAGATCTCATTCCTGCCCCATATCCTTCTTATATCCATTACTTACGACCCAATGCCCACGTTGCCATTGACAACGCTAGACCTATTCACGTCCTGATGGCCGGGAATCCCATGACTGCCTTCAGGAAATACTTAAAAGTAAGATACTTAGATAATCGTCATGATCCCTCGGACACTGACATGAAGTACTCGTCGTGTTTCGGGCTGAGGATTGGCGTCGTCAACAAATGGTTTAAGCCCTGGACTCGGTGCATTGTGGACTGATCATTCCTCAAAAGGGTTGTTTCAACCTTTGCAGAATCGAGTGCTAAGTTTAGGAAACAACGCCTCAGTGGAATGCATCAGCCTCAATGCATCGAGTCTTGGGCTTAAATTCTTTTCACACATTGCAAAATATTTTCTACAAAATCACCTAAAAGATACGTAATCACTAAAAGAACATAATTTTCAATGAAACTTTTTGCAACGGTCAAGTTTGCAAAGTATCAATTTCAATCTGTAGATTTTAGTTGTCACCTTGACAACCATTCACCAAATGGATTCTTGGTCATAAAATACGATGCCGTTACATGAAATAGGGTGTTCGGATTGGCTGGAATCGGACACACCTTACAAATTGTCTAGCTATGTGTGTACACGTACTTGTAACTGCAACCAGGTTTTTGTTCTCTCTTGTGTATACAGCTTGAGTTAGATGATGAGTACAAAAAATACAAAGGAACTGGTCGATACAGCCTTTGCCTACAAACACATTCAGTGAACTACACCAGACTTGGCTACAAAACATTCCAGGCTTTGTTGACAGCTACCATGCGCAATGCAACATTTTGCCTTCAGGTATCTTGGTTCATTTTTTGTTGGTTTAAATCTATATCATTGACATGATTTCGATCATTTTTGTGTTAACACCAGAAGTGGGGACATGTGATAGTCTCCAAAAGCGATAGTCACCAGAAGTGGTGACATATTGTTCTAGTCTCCAACTTTTTGTGGACGATGACAAGCATCAATGACCAAACAGTGATGGAATTAACAGTAAACCAGACCATACAGAGCTATTTATGCTCAACTAGTGTTTATGTCTAATACTACAAGAAAAGACTCTCCCAAACAAATTCTATTAACATTCAATTGCCATGAAGAATTTTTCTTTACTGATAGCATATGCAGATTGTGTAAAGCTAATGCTTGAATGTAGTTCTTTTTAATTTTATACAAACTGGTATAATATACAATCAATTGAATATGCCTCAATTAACAGGACAATAACATTCAAATACCAGGTCGTTCAATAAGTTCACGGAAAAACGCTCTCATTTCAAGTATTTTTGATATTTTCTCATGAAATTTTACACACAATGTATAAAAAATACTTTCTGATTGATTCTGAAAATATCAGCATCTCTTATTCGATTGGTCAAAAATAAGGGTTACTATGGTTACTTGACTTTTGGGTAGGCGGGGCACTTTTTACGTCACATTATTCATTGGAAAAACAACAGAATAGTAGGCAATTTATGAGTATATCACATGAATTCCTTCGCTTTCTACTTGTACATGATATTACTTAATGTGATAATAGTAACAACTATTGTCCCATAAGGTTTTAGAAATATTCTCCTGCATGTTTAATGCACAGTAGGTTCCATTCAAGCCATTGACGAGACAATGCTCTGAAGTCATCTCAAAAACTTGTTTGAAGGGCAATCTGGACTGCAGTCGAAAGTAGCTTCATTGTTTCATAAAGTCAACCTCTTAGCTGATCCTTCATCCTAGAGAAAACAACAAAATCAAAGTTGTCTCATCTGGAGAGTATGTAACTTGGGGCAGCTTTGCCATCTATTTTGCCAGTTATTTGTGATGGTTTCCTGCACAATATTAGCAGTGTGATCGGCTGCATTATTCTGATGGAATTATTTAGAGTTCGGCTGAATGGAAGTTTTAATCAACTTACCATTATACCATTACTTTGTTGATTTTCTGGTCCACTGGTACAGCATTAACTAGCACAATTTCAGAAATGTTCGTGAAAACAATGAACATCAATTTTCCCTCAAAAATTTGTAATTTGAATAAGAACAAATAAAAAATAAGGATCCTTCCTTTGCACATATTGATAGATTTCTGTAATGGTAAATTGTGTGACGTAAAACGTGCCCCGCCTACCCAAAAGTCAAGTTACCATAGTAACCCTTATTTTTGACCAATCTAATTAGAGATGCTGAGATTTTAAGAATCAATCAGAAAGTATTTTTTAAACATTGTGTGAAAATTTTATGGGAAAATATCAAGAATCTTTGAAATGAGAGCATTTTTCCGTGAACTTATTGAACGACCTGGTACATGGAGCTGTGCAGTTTGCACTAGCATGATCACCAATTCACCTTGATATTTCTAGTGCATTGTAAAAATTGAACCACAGAATATGATCTCAGCATTTCATTGCGGCATTAAATAAAATGAATTTAATTCAATTTCTATGCAATGCATATGCCGTATTTGATGGTCATTTCACCCTGATATACACTCCCCTCCATAAGTTTGGCAACCTTTTTTCCCCCATTGAACTACGTGTTAAAGCCTCTTTACCTTTGAATTTTTATTTACTTAATCTGCGATGAAAATACTTAAACTATTGCTGAGAACGTAATTTGACCTTAATTCCAATACCTTCAAATTTTCTCAATTTTTTTCCTCAATTACAATAGGTCGAAAATTGATGATAAATTTGATGAATTTTTGAAAATCGACATTCCCATGTTAACCAATGGGAAATGGTAGGTTTGCCGCAAGTCATATGACAGAATATCCATCCATCCGAGTCCTTGCAAAAAATACGAGTTAGGCAGGGAATTGAATTTGCTAACTTTATTTAACAAAAAATTGATATGTTTCTTCAGGTTCAACAAAGTTATAGGGGTTTTTAAAGTCAAAATTGTTTTTCAAAAAACCTATCCCATTGAAATAACACAGGAGGCGAAAAATTATTTTCAAAAATGACTTTGAAGCGCTGTAACTTTAATATTCATCAAATAAACTAAACACTTAGTGTTCAAAAAAGTTAGACAATTCAATTTCCTATATAAAAATATTTTTTGCTGAATCTTTTACTGAAAATTTATCCTGATTTCTGATTTGCCCCGAACCCTCCATTTCCCATTGGATTACATGGGAATGACGATTTTCAAAAATTCATCAAATTTATCATCAATTTTCGACCTATTGTAATTCAGGAAAAAAATTGAGAAAATGTGGAGGTATTGGAAATAAAGTCAAGTTACGTTTCCATTAATATTATAAGTTATTTCATCGCCGGTTAAGTAATAAAAATTCAAACGTAAAGAGGCTTTAACACGTAGTTCAATGGGGAAAAAAGGTTGCCAAACTTATGGAGGGGAGTGTACCTGCTGAGTGCGTTGTAATTATATATCAAAGAATAGAATTTCAGCATTTTATTATTGTGTTCTTTAAAGGAATTAACTTCATGCAATACTAAACAATGCACTTAAACTGTCAATATTGAACTCGGTGATGTTACTATTGCCTGTACCTTATGTATGTACTCATATATTATAAGTTCGACTGTAGTTTTGACTTTCAATGACATTCTCAAGGTGAAAAAGGCCAAAAAGGTATTGTTTCAACTTGCTTCAAATTGACCAATCTTTTTTTCAGAATCATCTACAAGTTATCTATTTTTCAAAACTGACTCTAGATTTGAGATGTCACCTTCAATGACCTTCTTATGTTCAAGCAGGTCTTTTTTCAACTTGCTTCAAATTGACCTATTTATTTTTTCAAAATCATCTGTTAATGTAATACTAAATGAATATGAAAATAAATAAAAAAAAATTTAAAAAAAGATAAATAAAAATCTACAAGTTCTCAGAAATTCAAATGTGACTAAGCCTGAACTGATAATATTGTGAGCAACTAGGTGGTGACATTTTGTCATGTTAATGCCTTGTAAATGCCGGATAGATTTTGAGTAATAGCATGCCTTAAATGGCATCACCCTTTTATTGTTTTAATTCTTGTTATTGTTCTTCCAGCCTCATGGAGACACCCCTACACGCAAATCATTCTTTGATGGACTGCTGTCAGGGTGCATTCCGGTGATTTTCACAAACCACTCAGCGTATTATCCGTTCATAGATATGCAACACGCCGGGTTCCCATACCCATACCATACATTTACTATTTTGCTCAATGAAGAGGACATTATGAAAAATAAACGTTCTGTTTTGAAGCTGTTAGGTGATATACCAACAGAAACAATTAGAAAGATGCAGGAAAGAATAGTTGAAATAGGGAAATATTTCCAGTATGGTTTCTACGATGATGATGATGATGCCTTCACGCTTACAATTCAAAATGTAATGAACAAATTTCATATTAAAAATAAAACCAGTCACAGTTAACTTGTTCGTTATGTGTCTCAAGAAACTAATAATTCGAGTCGTCTCTGGAAATGCCGAGGAGAGGGCAAATAGATACTACAGGGCGTCAAATAAGTCTGTTCTCCCCGTTAACTTTTTTATTTTTAAAGTTATCATACTTTCCCATATATCATTCTAAAGCTTATGGAAAATGCTGATCACTCCCAAAAATCAATAATAAGAAAATCAATAATGAACTCTTCCTAATAAAATTGCTACAATGTTTCTTGAAAGTATGTAGTTGACCGTTGATCAAGGAGGATTGGCTCCCAGAATGCAACACCGATATTCTGCAAAACAATCACCTAGCGATAGCTTTGTTGGAGAGTATCGGGTCATTCTCCATGCAGTCGTACAAATTATACAGACACGAATAGCAAATGACGCATGCGTGGAGATTAAAGAATATCGAGTTGGAACCCTGGCTTCCAATCCTCCTTGACCGTTGATTGCGTCAAAAAGAGTAAAATTACCAGGATAATGAATGAACAGTGAAAAGTTTATACTGCGATTATTAAGGACAGGGTCAAAAAATTAATCGAAGATCAACCAGGGGAGAAACTTTATAGCCATGAAACATTGCTCAAATGAATCAAGAAAGCTTTTAGAAGCCTTGAAAGTGCAACACCCCTGTTTGTGAACATTTTGGAATCTTATCCTTGTAGAATTGAGGCAGTCCAAGCTGCTTTGGGATTTTTAACGAACTATTAAAAATGTGAAATGTGAACATCACTAAAAATGCTCTATAAAACTTGGAATTTAACCAATATCTCTGAAATTTGGTGTGTGATCAGCAAATTAAATTCCCCTTAAAATGATATATAAAAACCCCATGTTACTTCTAAAGGATGTGTCCGGGTTTATCCTATGCCAAGTTGAGTTTTAGGGAGATAAGTTGGTAAGATATATCCCGTATCCTGATTTTGAGGTTTCCATATCCAGAACCTCCATATCTCCCGCCATATCTCCCGCTTCAGTGCATATCTTCCCGCTTCGGTGCATATCTTCCCGCTTCCGGTAATTTCACTGAAAACTCTACTTGGTATAGACACTGTGTTAACGATCAATTCACTGATGTCTTAGATACCCTCTTTGAATTTATCTCACAGGCTCAGCAGCTTGGTGACGTCGTAATAATTGGAGATATGAATTCTCATTTTGGCTCACTCTTTCCCGCACCAAGAGGATGGGGTAATTATACTGACAATGCTTTCTCTTTGCTGAATGTATGTATTGAAAAATCTCTTGTGATTGCGGACATGAAACAGCATGCTGTTGGTCCAAACATCAGTTTTAATTCGTATACTCAACGTGCATGCACGTCATTATGTTGATCATTGTATTGTTTCATCCACTTTGGAAAAATGCATTGTGAAGTGTGGATTAATAGCCGAGCATGCATCCAATGTGAGCGATCATTTGCCTGTATTTATCTTCATCGACTTAAGTAATGTCAGTCACGTATATCCTAAATGCGATGAGAACGCACCACGTCTTGCATGGCATAAATTAAGTAAATGCGAAATTCAGTCAAACTATACGGACGTTGTGGAGTGTTTATGTGGCCCATTGCTTAACGAGATACAAAATGCAGTTGTAAGTAGTAATTGTAACGGTCTGTCAAACCCACAAATTGACTTTTTTATAGAACAGTTATGTTCGAACGTTAAACATGCGTCATATGAGAATGTTCCTACTGTCAAATATCGCAGACATCTGAAGCCTTTTTGGTCAAAACATCTATCAGAGTTAGTAAAAGACCGAAATAAAAAATGGAATGAATGGTGCAATATGGGTCGTCCGAGAGACGCCAATAATGAGTATCGAATTAGATATAAAAATGCCAAAAAGCTATTCAGGAAACGATATAAAACTGAACAATATCAATACGAGCAAAATGAATTAAGAAAACTTCATGAATCAGAAGGTTTGAATCCAAGAATGTATTGGCATTTAGTTCAAAAAAGTAGAGGTGGTTGTAAAGTTAACTCGAAACTGATCAGATCCTCTGAAACTAATGAAATTTTGACTAATCCAAACGATATATGTGATGAGTGGCGATCTTATTTCGAAAAGCTTTCCACCCCCTCCCAGAGTAATGATTTTGATCACCAGCATGAGATAATGGTTAACAATGCTATAGACCGCATGCTAGCAGAGTCATATTTGAATGGTAACACAATTTTATCTGACCCTCTGACTTTAAAAGAGGTATCTCATGCAATTGATTCACTTAACCTTAAACGTGCTACTGGGTTTGATAACGTTTCCGCCGAGCACTTAAGGTATGGTGGTACTCAGGTTCAACAGGTAGTTAAGATCCTGCTTCAAAGCATTATTGATAATGAATTTATTCCTAACAACTTTCAAATTGGTATACTATTGCCTCTTCTCAAATCAGGTATCCGGGATCCACTAGAAAAAGACAATTTTAGGGGGATTACCCTCATGTCTGTTCTTAGGAAGGTTTTTGATAATATCCTTCTGATCAGAAGCAAACCAGTTATCCTATTAAATATCCCCCAGTTACAAGGGGCATCTCAATCTAATGCTCATCGATCCATACATCCCTGATTGTACAAGAGACAATAGCTCATAATCTTGACAAAGGTAATAATGTATACTTGTCTACAATTGATATCCGCAAGGCCTTCGATACTGTGTGGCTTAACGGGCTTCTTTTTAAGTTATTTAACATTGGCATAAATGGTAAATTGTGGAGACTCATTCGAGAATCTTACAAAAATTACAAGTGCATGGTACGTGTGGATACACTCTCTGCTCCGTTCTGTGTACTTCAAGGAGTTCATCAGGGCGGGGTATATTCTATGTTAATGTACCAATTATATAATGCTGACTTAATCCTAGAATTGCAATCGTTAAAGTTGGGTGCATTAGTTGGTGGGTTGGATATCACATGTCCAGTTTACGCCGATGATACATCAATAGTTACTACAAGCACGACATCTATGAATGCACTGTTAAATTTGGCATACAATCACAGCCGTAAGTGGCGGTATGATATCCATCCTGATAAATGTAATGTGATGATTTTCGGAAATAATCACTACGCTGTACAGCCTACGTTCAAAATTGGCGACAAGCAGGTGACTATTGTGCAAAATCAAACCCATGTAGGTATACCCTTATCAACTAGTGGAAGCGTTTCCGAATATGTTGAGAAGGCGGTTACGTCTGGTAAAAGGAAATATTTCTCTCTACTTGGTCTAGGGAGTACTTGTGGTGGACTCAATCCTCTAACGGCATCACGCCTTTATTGGACGCTGTCTATCCCTACAATGCTATACGGTAGTTCAATCATTTCTTATTCGAATAATGATGTTGAATTAATCCAAACAGCCCATAGGCAGATTGGAAAACGCATTCAATGTCTTCCTAAATTTGCTGATAATGTATTTTCAACTGATCCACTGGGCTGGATGGACATCGAGTATAAAATCGCCTTAGATAAATTAATGTTCTTCCTTATGTTGATAACACTACCGGTAAAAAATATTTATAAGCAGGTCTTTCTTTATCGAGCTACGGAATTCCAATATAATGGTCACGGTGGTGCTGCGTCACCACTTAATACAATATGGAATGTTTTAAGCAGATTTAATCTTTTAGATGCTGCAACTAATATGATAAACACAGGTGTCTACCCATCAAAGGGAATATGGCGTAAATTAGTTTTAGGTAGGCTACGTCAAAGCCAAAATCCAACGTTTATGATTAAATGTGCTATAAAAAGTGCAACACATTTGTATGTAAGTGTAAAATGCTTTGCTCAGCCACTTAAATGGTGGACACTCAGTTTCAAATACCCTAGAGATTTAAAATATTGTAAATTAATGGTCAATTTGCTTATGAACCAAACACTCAATGGAAATAAAAAATGGGGTGACAGAAAATGTAATATATGTGATACTGGCGAAATAGAAACATTGGATCACTTTTTACGTTTCTGCAATTCCATAGATGCGGAAAGAGTTGCACTTCTCAATTTATTTAGAATTGGTAATGATGACATTATATTTCAAACTTTCAAATCAGACAATCATGAAGCAATGATTTTAAAAGCCAAAGCTGTATTTCTAATGTATGCAAAGCGTAACATGCTTATGCAAATGTGATTTTATTGTTAAATGCAAAACAAAAATTGTAAATGTACTCACAATATATACTTGTGGTAATAAAGGATACAATACAATACAATATAGGATAAAGCAGTTATGTACGGTCGGTTTGGATATGGGGTTCATCCCTCGTGAGATATGCACATCTACCTTCGGTCCCTACCCTCAGGTAGATATGCATATCTCCCTCTGGATAAACCCCATATCCAAAACCTCCCAGTACATAACCCTTATATATGCCCTTTTGGTCCCTCAGTCAAATGTATGTGAAATATGGTTTTTATTACTGTCCTAGTTATATTTGATAAGTAGATTTACTTTTTCACGAGTTTTGATGCATAGTTAACCCCCTGCTGAGAGTCAGAATAAGTATCTTAACAAACAAAAAATAGTCATTATCATAGAAAAAAACACCAATGGCAACATGTAAGACTTACAAAGAAGAAATAACTTAAGACCCATGAAGAATTTAAAAGAAAATCATATTTTTGAAATATATTTAAGGATTAAATTTGAATTTCCCGCCAGTTTATTTTGAAGGGGGAAAAACAAGATGGCTGCCATTTGATGTAAGAAATATCAGAAAAAAAGTTGCTTCACTTTTAGTTTTCACAATGAGCACAGTTTTCCGGTTAAGATTTTTTGACTGATTCTGACTCTTCATCACCAGGGTCATGTATAGAGATTATAAAATTGAAACCAAAATGTTGTGCTCAGCATGAATTTGACTGAAATATGTGTAACTTGACCAACACAATTGAAGTGTCAAAACTGGATGCTCAGTAACTTTGAGTGACTATAATCCCTTGATTACCCAGATAAACATCAATTCACTTATCCAGAAATACCATTCAATGTC